TTCTTTTACTCTTACGCACAGTAAAAGTCTTTTCTCCTGAATGCTGCTAATTACTTACATGCACATACAAGTTTGTGTTCCTCCTACTCAACTCCCTGAATTATCCAATTGCACATAATTTTGGGCAGGATATAGGAATGCGGCGCCAAAACCATGCATTTTTATCTACATTTTCCACAATTTTTATTGAACTTTATAACTTCAGAAGAAGGCCGTGTTAAAGGTTGTTTTGTTTCATCTTCCCTGTTTTCTGAACAGTTGTTCTTTTAGGATCAATTCAACCATTTAGCATCATCCCTATAAAATCGCGCAAATTGCATAGTTACATGAAAATGTCAGCTGGCATCTGATTAGTATTCTTCACGTTTGAGTTGAGTGGCTGGCCATTTTCCTTCCAGCTAGGAAGGAAAATCAGAAACAGGATGGCAGAGAGGGAGGGAGGGGCAGATTCAGAAAGTATATCCCAGGCATAGGCAAACTCGGCCCTCCAGATGTTTTGGGACTACAACTCCCATCATCCCTAGCTAACAGGACCAGTGGTCAGAGATGATGGGAACTGTAGTCCCAAAACATCTGGAGGGCTGAGTTTGCCTATGCCTGGGATATCCTGCTTATTGTCTGTCCCTTTGAAAAGCTCCAGAACAATTTTTTACTCCTGTACTTTGGATGGGAAAACGAGAAGACATTTCCTTCTTCCTCTACCTGTAACACTCAATGTCCACATTTATGAAAAATAGAGGTATAACCAGGACTTTTTTTTTCCAGCCGGAACTCTCGCTGGAACCTCTCAGGTGGGTGTCATTGTCATTATAAGAGGACAAGGTAGGTGTTCATGGGGAGTTCTGGCACCTCTTTTTCTAGAAAAATAGAACTGGTTATAGCTGAAATTAAAAAGAAGGGAATGCAAACTGTATACAGTGGTACCTCTGGATGCGAATGGGATCCGTTCCGGAGCCCAGTTCGCATCCTGAAGCGAACACAACCCGCGTCTGCACGCAGGTCACAATTCGCTGCATCTGCGCATGCGCACAACATCATTTTGAGTGTCTGCGCACGCACGAGCGGCGAAACCCAGAAGAAATGCGTTCCGTTACTTCCGGGTCGCCGCGGAGCGCAACCCGAAAATGCTCAACCCGAAGCTACTTTAACCCAAGGTATGACTGTAGGTCAATTTTGACTTCTCCGTTTCTCATTTTTCTAATCTTAAGTTTATTTCCCCACATTTCTGTATCAGTTTGCCATTTCTTTTAATTTAGAAGTTCTCGTGAAAATTCATTATCGTTTTGTGTGTGCCCTTTTCCCAATACTGTATACACATTTCTGTGTGCAACTGCGACAAATATATACACCTTTTTTGCAAGCAATTTCCCCTAATATGTATTTTGTATGAGACTTCCACTAATGCATGAATTGTTGTATGTACTAGGGGCAGGTACTGTTGCACGGATTTTTAAAGTACCTGTGACCCACTCAAATTGTGTCCAAGAATTGACAGACGCAGCAGTGGAGAAAAAGAAAGTGATATTTATTGCTGAGCAATAATTGACCCAGTGGAATGATTTCCAAAGACTGGGCCCCGGGCTCTAGCGCCCTGAGGCTTTATACCTGAGTACATACATGACATAATCGAATACAATAGCAAACGGCAGCAAAAATAAAGCTAATGAGCGCATTCAAGCCTTGCCCCGCCCCCTCCAATTATGTAAAGAGTTCCCTCCCAACCTCTGCTTTCTTCAGTCTGAACATTCATTGTAACCCTTCCCCTGATTTTATGGTAAGAAGGAGAAAAGGAACTTCGACCGTTACGCTCTACTACGCGGCATCTGCTATACCGGGACATTTTGCGGTTAGCATCTTCCTGTTTTTAGCTGCTCAGGACCCTGTCTGGACAGGGGGGAAAGTGCCAGCACATCAGATTTATTGCTTCCCCCCTTATGTTAGCGAGACATCGAGGACATAAGAAGAACAAGGGAAGAGAACTGGGGCAGAGTTCATTTAGGATTTTTCAAATCTAAGCATTTTGCTATAAGCTTTGCAGAAGCCTTTATGATTCAAACATGGATTATATAAAAATCATTATAAGGATATATGGTTATATATGGTTATATGGCTAACTGATTATATGAAAAGCATAAAGGTAAAATTCCTCCAGGTGGTCCTGCTTCAGTACTTCACTCACCAACCCCACCTACCTACCTGACACCATCTTGCCAATCCCAGTCCCTTTGCACCTCACCCCCCAACCTATTCCTCCTCCGGCCGCTGCTCCTCCTTTTGCTGACGAAAATGATTGCTATACAATCTAGGAAGGTACGTCTGCATATAGAAATAGGCCTGTGCACATTCAGATGAGCATTAGCATCAACAATGCAGTGCTTGTGTGGGGCTAGATTATTCAAAAGCAGGCTGTGCTTCAGAAACGGCCATATTCCAAATAAACACCGCCTGATTTTCCTTTCCCCCTTCATAGCTTTCGCAACGTTTCAGCACAGCAAAGCAGCAGAGACAGCTCCCAACCTCTGATCAGTCAATCTCCAATTTAAAGGTGTTGGCAGACAAAATGAATTCCAATTCATTAGTCGCTTGATAAGTGTTCAATTTTCCTCAGCTCGTATCTAAATAGGATGCCGGCCATTGCGTAGTGCTTCTCCTCTGTCTCATTAGTATTTCCATTTGCAATTTACCTTCTGTGCAACGCCATATGTTTTATACATCGCTGTGTTAGCCTTGGCCATCTAGCCTCTAGAGTGTGCTCACAACGTCGCCTGGAAGTGCTGGTTCTAGTAAGGGCTTGATTAGTAAATATGATCATACGAAAAGGCCGCATGGAGAAAAAAAAATTCTGATAGCTGCTTTCGAAGGTAATAGTTGCACTTGCCTCGGTATGATTGATCTCACTCTTTCTGTATGTCTATTTGGGTGTAAGAGTGAAGTATTTGATGTTCAAAATGTGCCTGTCCAGCAATTTCCAGGCAAGCCTCTTGATATTTTCTGTGGGTAATGATGTACTTGTTCTCCAGTAATTCCATTTTCCCTGCTTGATAAAATGTTTGAAGTTTCCAATAGTCCATGTCATTATCGTTGTTTTGCTGTTGCAAGAACAGTGACCTTGATCACTGCTTTTCTTCATGCAGTTCCATTCCCCACCTGTTTTAAAAAAATAAAAATGGGTTCACAGGCTTCTGAATATTTCAGCACCGGTCACATCTCCTTTTTAAAATAGATCTGACATTGTCATTAGTCACACTGAGATGTCTTAGCTGTTTACCTGTTTTGGCTGTACAAGGGTTAGAAATAAACAGACTTTGCACTTCAAGATCACCTTTCAATATGTTGTTTTATGCTGCGGCCACTGAAATTTGCATCCAAAGTGAAATTTAAAGCAATTTTCCTTTTGGCAGGGGGTGGTTCTGTCTTATAGGAGGAGAATGGAGAGAAATCTTTGAGAAGGGACGCGAAAGCATTTTTATAAGACGGATGGCATTTCTGAGATCCAACGCAAACCTAGGTTGTCCCCAGATACCATCTAAAAAGAAATTTGGAGTAAAATTGGGGACTTCCACTCTGCCACGCCTCCTCCTGGCTGGTGAAACATCCAGATATAAATTTAAGTTTAGGATAATAACCTTTGAACAGCTGGGTAAGAGGTAGTAGCATTTTCTGAAGGCATAAAATTGAAATATTAGGGATGGGGAAAAATATCGCTCCCAATCTCATTCAATCTACGTCATGGATTGCATTTCAGAATGATGTATTTCCATATGCGCCTTCTGATATTTAAGTTAAAAACATGCATATGCATACACATACACTACAGATTTTATGTTAACTGAGCAGTAATGTGAACTGTAAGAAATCCCAAACTTAAATGCTGGACAGCAAGTTGAGACCTTTCATGTCATGAAGTTGACCTTTACAAGATGTTGAGATGTAGACATAGAAGCATATAGATGCATTAGCTTCACCAGAGACCAGTACAATGGTACCTCTAGTTATGAACTTAATTCATTCTGGATTAACCTGAAACTGTTCTTAACTATAGGTGTGCTTTCGCTAATGGGGCCTCTTGCTGCCGCTGCGCCGCTGGCACACAATTTCCGTTCTCTCAAAGGTTTTGACCTTTAAAGTCCTATGCAGCCTACGACCCTCGTACTTACAGGACCGCCTCTCCTGGTATGTCCCGCAGAGGACCCTGTCTATGAATAATAATAGCTTAAAGGTCCCGGGCCCTAAGGAAGCCAGACTGTCCTCCACCAGGGCCAGGGCTTTTTCAGTGACGGCTCCGACCTGGTGGAATGCTCTGTCTCATGAGACTAGGGCCCTGCAGGACTTGATTTCCTTCCGTAGGGCCTGTAAGACAGAGCTAGGCCGCCTGGCCTTCAATTTGAATTAGCCTGATCCTTTATTCCCTTTTCCCTTTCCTCTTCTAAGAAGAAACCCTTTCTGGGACCCCATATTTAAATTCCTCCCTGGTCTCCTTGCTGGCCCTAGTAGGATCAACTTGGCCAGTTAGGTCTGGTGATCATTTCATGTCTACTGACTGGGTTTTTTTTTCTTCCCCCAAAATAAACCCTGAATTTTTGAATTTTATTGATATTGATGCTGCATTTTATGTTGTATTTTATGTTGATTTATGCTGTTTTTAACTCACATTTTAATCAATGTTTTATATTTGGTGTTAGCCGCCCTGAGCCCGGTTTTTTAAACCAGGAAGGGCAGGGTATAAATATAAATTATTATTATTATTATTATTATTATTATTATCCAGGGGCAAAGTTCTCAACTTGAGGTAACTCTTCCAGGTTAGCGGAGTTTGTAACCTGAAGCGTTTGTAACCTGAGGCGTTTGTAACTGAAGGTACCACTGAATAAACATGCATGGAACTTAAATATATATATATACCACCACAGACTAATAGTCTCTGAACCTCAATCTCAGAAATGAAACAGTTTGCATAATATTGCCAGATCGTAACATTTACCTTTACAGTATAACAAGAAGAGCTCAGCCGGTAGAGCATGATACTCTTAATCTCAGCATCAGGGGTTCAAGCCCCACAGTGGGCAAAAGATTCTTGCACTGCAGAGGGTTGGACTAGGCTCTACAACTCTACGATTCTAATATTCTAAATGAACCATACCATGCCATGATCTGCACTGAATTCCGAAGCGAAAGGATATCCATATGGGTTCCCTGAAACAACTTTCTGTATTTGTCCTTCAGTAAGGGTGGCGATGTGGGTTAAACCACAGAGCCTAGGGCTTGCCGAACAGAAGGTCAGCGGTTTGAATCCCCACGAGGGGGTGAGCTCCTGTTGCTCGGTCCCTGCTCCTGCCAACCTAGCAGTTTGAAAGCATGTCAAGGTGCAAGAAGATAAATAGGTACCGCTCTGGCGGGAAGGTAAACGGCATTTCCGTGTGGTTCACTAGAAGCGGCTTAGTCATGCTGGCCACATGACCCGGAAGCTGTACGCCAGCTCCCTTGGCCAGTAAAGTGAGATGAGCACCGCAACCCCAGAGTTGTCTGTGACTGGACCTAACGGTCAGGGGTCCATTTACCTTTACCTTTTAAGGCTGCCAATGGCCATGTTCTGCTTCTGATTGGTTGCTGGGACTCAAGTTGGAAGAGTGCTGTTGCACCCAGGTCCTGTCTGCAGCTATCCCATAGGCATCTGGTTGGCTCACAACTTCCACAGGGGGTGACGGTTACAGTCCCTCACTCTCTGCCTTCCCATTGGCAGGCAGAGCATGCTCGCCCACCAGCCATTGTTGGGGAATTCTCCTTGGACAGCAGTATTAAGGAGCGGCCTTCCCGACAGAGAAGACAGCTTTGATTGGGCCAACCCCCTGGTTGGAGGACAATTTGATGATAAGAAACTGCTTCTACACTGAAAGATGAACTGCTTATAATATATAGCAGACACGTCCAACTTTGAGTAGGGTGTGATCTACAATCCAATATCAAAAACTGGCAGTGATCTACCACCCAGTGAAGTCATTTAAGTTAAATAAATAAGTAAAACCTAGTTGAATTCCACCCCTTGTACTACTACTACTACTACTACTACTAATTTATTATTTATACCCCGCCCATCTGGCTGGGTTTCCCCAGCCACTCTGGGCGGCTTCCAAAAAACACTAAAATACAATAACCTATTAAACTGTAAAAGCTTCCCTAAACAGGGCTGCTTTCAGATGTCTTCTAAAAGTCTGGTAGTTGTTCTCTTTGACATCTGGTGGTAGGGCATTCCACAGGGCGAGCACCACTACCGAGAAGGCCCTCTGCCTGGTTCCCTGTAACTTGGTTTTTCGCAGTGAGATAACCACCAGAAGGCCCTCAGCGCTGGACCTCAGTGTCCGGGCAGAACGATGGAGGTGGAGACTCCTCCTTCAGAGGGAGTGAAACCCCATCCCTGGCAGGCAGTTGGCCAATTTCTTGGACATGGGTACCACTCACAGAGCCTCTGTGTTACCAGGGTTCAAGCCCTGCCTATTTGCTCTCATCCAGCCCAGCTCTGTATTCAGACACTGGCCTAGTGCCTGGATGGTCTCTCCCGATTCAGATATGATGCAAATAGAATGGATTGTTTGAACAGGGCATAAATAATCCTTATCACTGAAGACAGCTTTGTTTTCAGCCACTTCTGAATGTTGCTCTACGATACGATGATCTTTATTGTCATTGTCCCATACAGAACAACGAAATTGAAAAAAATCTACATCAGACACAAGATGCTGACATAGCCCAACAGATGAGCAGGTGCTGATATAAAATTGCACATAGATAGCTAGAGTTTTAAAGGTAAATGCGATTAACATAAATAATTTAAAATGATTCTCCTGGAGACAACTGAACTTTGCTGAACTTTTTGCAAACACAAGGCATGGCACAATAATGGGCAGACCATTAAGGACTGTGTATCCTCTATCCTCTAGTTCTCTACTCTCCAACACTTTATATTCATAATTCTTTTTCTGTTTGGTGAGCAGATAAAATTTTGTGTGATGTACTTGAAAGAGAAGTAAAGGGGTGAAGCATACAGAAGAAACAATGAAAAGTCAGTTTCTTAAGTCCATTTTTTAATGAGAGGCTAATTTCTGGGAGATAATAAAAAAATAAAAAAAAATGCTTTGAGAAGGTGCAAGAACAACAAGGACAGATCTCATAAGGGCAGTTTGATGCAAGGCTTAGAGGACGTCTTCGTGGTTTTATTTGTACATATATACAGCCTGCAGCAAAATTGCAGAGTATTCACATACTATGACCCTCTTACTTCCCCCTTAAGCATAGCACTGGGTTCAATGAACAGCAAAAAGCTACGCTTTGAGTCTCTTAGTTTCAGCCTGTAATCTCCAGCTAAGATGGAGTTCCTCCACTTCTTCTCCTCCCTGCAAACTGACTCCATGGACCTCCCCACATCCAATGTCATTCAAAGTTGAAAGCTTTAAGCTCTGCTGGGCCGTGTTCAGAAAGTGGGGGGGGGGTGAGTGTTCAGACCCCTGGGCTCTCACTTGTGGGGTGCCTCAGGGTTCTGTCCTCTCCCCCATGCTTCTCAACATCTACATGCAGCAGCTGGGAGAGATCATCAGAGGGTTTGGGCTGGGTGTTCATCAGTATGCGGATGATACCCAGCTCTACTTCTCATTCAAATCAGAACCAGTGAAGGCGGTGAAGGTCCTGTGTGAGTGTCTGGAGGCAGGTGGAGGATGGATGGCGGCTAACAGATTGAGGTTGAATTCTGACAAGGCAGAAGTATTGTTTTGGGAGGACAGGAGGCAGGCAGGTGTGGAGGAGTCCCTGGTCCTGAATTGGGGTAACTGTGCCCCTGAAGGAGCCTGGGAGTCATTTTGGACTCACAGCTGTCCATGGAGGTGCAGGTCAATTCTGCATCCAGGGGAGCTGTTTATCAGCTCCATCTGGTAGGCAGGCTGAGACCCCCTACCTCACCACAGACTGTCTCTCCAGATTGGTGCATTCTCTAATTATCTCTCACTTGGACTATTGCAATGCGCTCTATGTGGGGCTACCTTTGAAGGTGACCCGGAAACTACAACTAATCCAGAATGCATCTGGCCGGGTTTCCCAGCCACTCTGGGCAGCTTCCAACAAAACACTAAAATACAATAACCTATCAAACATCAAAAGCTTCCCTAAACAGGGCTGCCTTTAGATGTCTTCTAAAAGTTTGGTAGTTATTTTTGTCTTTGACATCTGTTGGGAGGGCATTCCACAGGGCGGGCGCCACTACCGAGAAGGCCCTCTGCCTGGTTCCCTGTAACTTGGCTTCTCGCAGTGAGGGAACCGCCAGGAGGCCCTCGGCGCTGGACCTAAGTGTCCGGGCAGAATGATGGGCGTGGAGACGCTCCTTCAGGTATACTGGACCGAGGCCGTTTAGGGCTTTAAAGGTCAGCACCAACACCTTGAATTGTAAATCTGGCACTGTAACTCTGCCAAGCTGGCTTGGCTTGTTAGCACAACTAAGTGTGTGTACGTGTGTGATGTTGTGAAATGCCTTGCTCTCTTTGCATGAAGGGTGGTATACAAATTGAATACATAATAAAAACTGTAATAACCACAGAGGCCTTTCATGGTACCTGTGAAATCCCCTCCCCTGACCAAAATTTGCCTTGAAAGATATATTGTTGTATGTATCTGCTTTATCCTGTTCACAAATGTCCACAAAGGACCACCCCCCATCCTCCTAAAAATAGCTTCCCCTGTGATACAGTTATGCTTTTATTTTGTTTTTCTGCTGTCTCCAAGTTGCAATTTTAGCAAACACATTCCTAACTCTACAAATGACGGAGGGGGGAGCCTCTTTAACTAAGCTGAATGCTGAAAAATTTCTCTTTCTACATAGAGAAGTGAAGCAAAACAAAGTGAACAGAAACAAGCCACAAGCCACTTGCTATGTTTGGTATAGACTAGAGTCAGAAAAGGGAAGGGAGAATTTCCTGCTCCTTTTAAGCAAGCTTTCAAAGTTTTGCCTTTCTTTATTATGCAAGAGCGGGCATGAAAGAGTCAAAACTTTCCTGGGAAGAAGTGCAGCATTTGTTTTGTCATTACAAAGGAGAATATAAGTGTCCTGCTAGTTGCAGCAACAGATTTATGGCAAAGAAGCATGTACACTAGCAAGACTGGAACAGAATAGGATGCATCCATTGCTATTAAATTGCATTGCATACAAGGAGTGCAAAACACACACACACACACAAAATAACAGCAAGAAAATCCATTCTGAATACTGGAAATTCACATTTTGGATACTTTATCTTACCTATCTGGAACATGCAATTTTAAAATGATATTTTATGCCCTGCTGTCCATTATGCTTGTGTACTATATAATCACCCTACTTGTGCATCATTCCCAATTCAGAAGTGCAGAACGCATGCCAACCTAGATTATTAGTATGCAGTGGATAAGGCTATGTGAATTGCTATTCTGCAATTGGTTTAACAATGCAAAATCATGCACATTATCACTGCTTTTTAAAATGGATCTACCCCCCACCCCCGGTGAAACCCCCCCCCCCATCATGCTTCATAAACCTGTTCCAATTTAGCTGCAAAGGTGAAAATCTCACATATTTCTGGTATCTTTGTTCCAGGCAGATTTCCAAGCAGGAAAACTGTAGCCCTGCCACAGATGTACAAACTGACTCGCAATTAAGTCAATTCTGCACATAATGCACAGCAAAGATTTTCAGAGAAAGGTGTTTATGCTTTTGAACCGGGGACATGGAATGCCATTAAATCTATTGTGATAGCAATCTGCATGTAGCCATCATCAATAATATGGATTCTGCATTGCAAAAGCTACATATCTGATCTGCTGATGAGTAGGAGTGACCCAAATACACTGCTATAATTTGTAGGAGGGAAAATAATATATAGGGAGCTAAAAGAACAGACTTCACATGTTTTCTAGTTTCGGTTTGTGTTGAATGGAGTTTCAGATCTGTTTTAATGTGCTTGTGCTTGTGCTTGTGTGATACAAGGAGCCTCTTCACTTTTGGCAAAACATCATTTGAAATATGTCTCACAAATAGAAACATAGTTTGAAT